CTCTCTCTCTCTCTCTCTCTCTCTCTCTCTCTCTCTCTTTCTCTCCCCCTTTTTTTTTTTTTTTTTTTTTTTTTGTTATAAATATACAGCTAGGATGATACCTCTATTCCCAGACCTGGTGAAGGTCATCAGAGGGTGGTTGGATGGTGGTTGTTACAGAAGGATCAAAATGAAACATGCAAGAGGAAAGCAGTTAAGCAAGGGAAAACCACGATTTCAGGGTTAACTATGTGAGCCTTCCGCTTACTAACACCATTAGTATTGCCACCATGCAATGGCCCCATCTAACCACAGCATCTCCTCCTTTTCTTCTCTGCACAATTCAGTATTTGCAGGTATGGCAGCAGTAGCTAATGTTTATTATTATGGATCAGACACTCACTGTACCATGTGCCTTCAGTGTATCATTTCAGTTAATTATCAGACCAATCCCTCCTGCAAGGTACTATTATTTTCCACATTTTCTAGAGAAGAAATTTGAGATTCAGTGGAGAGGTAGTTTGTCCAGAGTCACACGGTGAGTAGCAAGGATTCAGATCAGGGTATGTCAGAGCCCAGAGCACAACCTTTTAACCATTATCTCCCACCACCATCTCAGTCCAAGGCCACATGGATCAAGACTGCTTACGTAGTCTCACTGGGACAATACTGCAGTTAACTGCCATTCGGCACCACTCAGTGATCAATATTCCAGATACAAGTAAGCCATGCTTACTATTTTTCTTATTTTTAACTTACTGCATCTCAGTATTGAGTAATAATTTTTTTACACCGACTGTCAGATAAACTCAATGAGACCATAAATAGAGATTATCTTCAAAATATGAAATGCATTTATGAACTCAATAGGTTTACTATAAATCACACACACAAAAAACTTAAATTTTTATGTTTCCAAATGCATATTCCCTCTTTAATTTTACATCAAAGTTCTCAGCTAAGCCTCTCAGTTTTTAGCACAGATTAAAATTATTGAACTGAATATTAAGAAAGTGGTTGAATGCAGGATATCTCTATTGCTCTCTGATTGCTAGGTTCTTGGTTATTTTACTTGACTAGCAAAACACCCATTACCTTAAGCAGGCAAAACCAAAGGGCAGAGCACAGACACCGGCTATCTTACCTGTTTAAGAGCCTTTTTGGTGTGTTGCTGAAAGGAAGACACTAGCTTGCTTTGCACTGCTGTGTTCGTCAGGCTTGAATCTCGAGTGGAAGATGCTTCATCAGTTACCTGCTTCGCACAGACTAGAAATGGAGAGAGAGAACGATATTACTAATTTGAATTCCTTTTTTTATATCCACTGTAATTACTCACTTGGAGCTTTTCTCCAATTGTAAATGGATACCGAAAATAAATCAAAATAGCACAGTAAAAAGAAGAGTATCTAGATTTGAAGAGACCATTTAATAACTGTGTGGCCACAGCTCCATTTAACCTCTCTTAAGCCTTCGTTTCCTTACCCACTAATTGAGGATAATTTCTATGTCATAGAGTTATTATATGAACATAAAAAATAGCACAAGATCTGCCTCAAGAGTTGGGAATCAGTAGATACTATCTAAATCTGAATATGGAGATTGGGCAATGCATAGTATTCTGAAGAAACAATCTAAATTAATGTAATTGTTTTAAATATACCCAGTCTCACAGGTATTATGATTTCTCTATTTAACAGCTCCCTCTGTAGAATCTATGACCTACTGGGACATGTTTATCTTCCCCTATGGGCCAAGTCACATGGCACAGAGAAGACAAATGAAATGCAAGATGTTTGCCGTCAGCTGAAGACTACTATTTTCAAGAAATGGTGCTCTCTGTACATTACAATATATTCTGCCCTTTTACCAGAGTCAGACTTTCCTATTGCCTATCCTATCAAAGACATTTCTTCTATAAAACTGCTCTTCAGGAGAAGCAATATCTCAATGACATGGGTGACAAAGGAGCCCACAGAGACTTCTTGCTCTGTGAAAGCCAAGGTGGAGCTAGAACGCTTCCTTCAGTCTTTCTCAAACCAAGAGACTAGCTTCAACACTGAAGTGGCTCTGGTAGGAGCACAAATGCAGGCCCTTTTCTGTGTACACCAGGGGACAAGGAGTTATTTGGAAAATCAATGTGAAGAAGGACTATAATTAGCAGCAAAATGGAGGCATATGTTAAAGGCAGAAGGCATGAGAAAGTTAGACAGAAGAAACTTGAGAACATATTGTAAAAGCTCAAAACACGACTTAAGGGCAGCAGGGTTAATGTTAATTCAAGAAAAAATTCCAAGTAGTGGTAACTTGGGATGATTCTGACTTAGGTTTAAAAGGAAAGTGCAGAAGTAAATATTAGTCAAATATGGAAGCATACGTACATGCACAGTGCTGCACACACTCAAGTTGCTTTTGAAAGATTCATGCCTACCTTTTCTAGAAATGAACACATGGGTATGAGAGAGAATTTGGGGAAAGTTTTATTTTAATACAGAAAGTTATCAGGAAGTCAAATGAACAAGTTTGGAAAAACAAAAGTTAGTTATTAATGCCAGGTACTTTCACATACATGATCCCATTTAATCTTTGCAGCTTTCTTGCAAGACAAACAGGGATTAATCTCTTTATTGGAGAGAAAAAATTAGAGCTCAGAAAGGCTAAATAACTTGCCCATGTCACACAGTCAATGGAACAGCAGAGCTGTGGCCAAGGCCAGCCCATGGGTTTTATGCTTAAAATATTTGGCCTCAAAAGTCAAAAACTGATGCAGAAAATTCCATGTCCAAAGAACTAAATTGTAATATGATGTTGAGATTCTGTAAAAGAAAGTTAATAAGGGTGGGGGGGATGAATTATTCATTCATTCATGAAAATATTGAGATTTGTGGGTGATAGTGATGGGCCGAGGAAATACTTTGGCTGAAGTAGCAGAAAGATTTGTGGATAGATATAGTGACAGAAGTCCCTGAATTAAATAAAGATCAGGTGACTTTTTTCTACTTGATACAATATAACATTTTTCCTTAAGACAGTCTACATGTTCTAGTTAAGGAACATTTTATAATACTGCTTGCATAAACAAAGGTTCCTTGGCTTCTCTCCTTGAAATTATCAACAGATTAATTTGTAACACTGTCCCAAAACTTACTTACCAGGAAATATTAGAAATAACCATCAATTTATATTCTAAAGATAAATCTATACTGTACACTAATTACACAGATGGCCTTTTCAATTTTCTGAAGTCTCTATGAAGTATGACAAACTGCGGAGGTGACAGAAAAGTGGCAGAAAGGATATATGATCCCAAATGAACAAATGACAAATGGATAAGTCCAGCCAAAAGTAAAGTATTCATTAGCAAACATGTTTTATTACTTTCACATTCTTAGTAGCACTTGCTCCCCGAAAATTTAAAACTTAACAATTGGCTAGTAAATAAGGAAAACTAAATGCAGTCCATGGATTTTAGGGAATTTATGGACATATGAGAATGGTTCTGCAACTGGACATCTAAATTCAAATTTACTACCAATTTGCTTAGGAAATGCTTTAATTCATAAGTCTTTCAAACTTCAACACAGCAGGTAAAATAACAACAAATCTGACTCAGTGCACATGCAGTTAGAACCTTTGCTTCCCTCTTGTTTTCTCCTGGCAGTTCACAATCAGCTGTCCTTCCTGAGGCTAACAGCCACCTAGCTCACCATTTGCTGTTCCTCTCTGACCCAAGACACCACTGGATATTGGGATACCTATTTTGACATCAGCATACATGCTCTATATTTTGGTCTAAGTCTATTATTTCACTGTGTTGACAGGGATTCACAGACATTTACATATGTTGTTTCCAAACGAAAGATTCTGTTCAATTTAGAGCCCAGAACTTCAGAGGGAAGGTAGGACAATGGAGTTGAGACAGTATTAAGGAATACTGTGAAGTTTGTTCTCATGATGATTCCTTTTCCTTTTCCCGACTCTTTTATCCTATTCTCCATTCTCCATCCAAGTGAAGCACGTTAGTGTTCCTGTAGTAGGCAGTTATTTCCATCCTTGATCCCTCTTTCTTGAACTTGAAACTGACACTTACTGCTCTGGGTCAAACTACTTTTCCCTAATTATTTACTTCTGATAAAATAATTATTGACCCTTCAAGTAAAATGTAATAGAAAATAAAATGTATAAGTGATCACTCCCTTGGGTTAAAAACAAACTTATTTTATGAAAAAAAAAATCAAGAAAGAAAAAAATGGGTGGGGCAAACATGTACTTCATCCACAGGGTCCAAGCAGTGTGCCCATATATATATATTTTTTTAAGTACTGACCAATACAGACCTTAACACGGGCATATGGGTATATGGGTTGCTTTATTCATTCTTTTGCCATGAATATGACATGAAGATGACTGAATCTAAAAACACTCATTCACTGAGCAGTTGGATTGTGCAGGTTTAGGCAGATTCATATTCTGACAAAACTCAAGGTTTTCACTTTTACTTATTCTTGCAGCTTTCTCAATAATAGATATAATAAATAAATAATGAAGGGCTCATTTTAAACAGTTGCCTGAATATTTATCTAAGGGTCTGAGGTCGGCCTCTGAAATACAGCCAGAGAGAAATTAATGTTAAAGAAAGGATCAGGGGAAATCCCCTGTATGTAAAATTACAACAGGAGCCAGGAAACTGAAGAATTAGGACAGATGTTCTATCCAATAAATATCAAACACTGACATGCAGCTTAGAAAGTGATATCTTCTTGGCATTCAGAATGGAAGCTATTTTTTCTAACTGTGCACTGCCATGATCACAAAACTAATACAAGGATTTTGTACCACGAAACCTCATAAGACAGCTGCCCTTTTCATAGGTGGACAAACTGAAGATGAAGAAACAAAAATGAGAAGACCAGTTCTCCCTGGAACTTTTTTCATTTAACATTTTTTTAAAAGGTACAGAAATACTATTTCTTTCTACATTTTGCTTGCCTGTCAAAATTAGGCAAGCCAAAAACATACTTAAAAGCTAATCTATTGGTTTTAAATTTGCCTCTCATCTACCTCTACTCTTACACTCCCAAACCCCTCCATTAAAATACTCTATTTACGGCAGCTGACCGGTTAGCTCCGTTGCTTAGAATGCAGTGTTATAACACCAAGCTAAAGGTTCAGATCCCTGTACCAGCCAGCCATCAAAACAAACAAAATCCAACAACAACAACAGATCTCCTGGCTGAAAATACTTTATTTAGAAGGTCTGGGAATAAAGGGAGGTGGAAGATTATAGGTAAGCACGAGACAGCCTTGAAGGCCAGAGAAACTGGTGATTGTGTCCCAGCGTTAAGTGTGGATTTCAGTCTCTTTTTCTCAGTGTCTCCAAGTTGTCTCCCTCTCTCTCTCCTTTTTCATTCACATTCAACTTGAAAATGCTATTGGACTAGCTTTAAAGTTAAGTGCTGGAGAGGGGACATGAGTGGCATTTCCTCCTAATCTAATTACTAATCTGCTGACAGGTGTAAAAGAGGACACCTACAATTCTAACTCTGACCTTTAACCCAAGACACAAAGAAGGGAGAAATCAGAACACAAACTTGATCTGCCTCTATTTCTAGTCTCACATCTCAACCGCATCCCCCGACCCCACCCACACCACTGATCCAACCAACTGAGACACTTCTGTGTTTCCTGACCACATCTGCTTGCTGTGTTTGTTGCACTTGCTCTGACTGTCCCTCCTCCAAATACCCTTCCCCATCACTCTGCCTGGCAAACTCATCTTGGCACGAACTCTGAGTAACTTCTCCAAAAACTTCCCTGACTTTCCAGTCCCAGAGTAGACTTGCTCCTCCCTACCCATGCTTCCTTGAAACTTAGAATGTGAATTTATGGCAGTCCCTGCAATACTGTTGCTTGAGTCTACCTCAGCAGGCACAGGCTCAGAAATTCAGGGGCTTATTTATGTGCAAAGATGGGCACAGAGCAGTAGATCTATAAATGTTTATTAAACTAAATTTCCGAATTTGATTTGCATTAAATTTAACTAAAGTATCTACATTTGAAGTTAACTTTCAGTTACTGTTGTGAACAAGAAGAATTCATGGAAGAGAAGGTCAGCAAAGCTAGTTTTTAATATGAAAAAGTCTACATAAAAATTAAACTTTTTAAAAATCAAAAACCTGCTTAAAAAATTTCTTAAAAATTATCTCAAATTCAATTAGGGAAAATATGAAAGCCAAACTACAGAGCTTCCTATGCAAGTCAGTGAGAAG